GGTCAAGATGTGTCCTCTATTGTTCTTGAGTGCAAGGCACTGTACAGCAGTGATAACTTACATAAAAGCAGATTATGGTTGAATGTTAGGAAAAATGCCTAATGATAAGAGGAATTTGACAAAAGAACAAATTACAGTGGACAATGTAATTGATGAGCTCCCTTTCACTAGATATATTTCAGCAGAGGCTGAGCAGCCATCTGTCAGGGATGCAGCAAAATGCATTATTTCACGGAGCTGGGAATTATGTTCTGTTGCCCTTATGATTGTGTAATTCTGTGTGCATTGGCTTCTAGAGTCAGGTTTCTAAAGATACCATAGTCTCAAACTCTATTTGTATATGTAGAGACTTCCAGACTTCCATGCCCTATCTCTTAGCCCTGATTCATAGTTTTAAAATATATTCAAATAAGGCAACGTTCAGTAAAACTGTTGTAGTTGTTATATATAAATTTAGGATGTCATGTATTTATGTATTTATTAAATTTATTTACTGCCCATCTCACTGTTGAGTGACTGTGGGGGCTACATCATAAAAACAAGAATATAAAAACATTAAACCCTATTAACAAAATTATCTAAAAAATGAAATTACTTATACTCTAAAAACATACTTTTACCTGATTTTAATTTTCTCTTGATCTTGTTTTTTTATTTTATTCTTATATTTTATAATTAGTACCGTAGTTGTTTGAAGGTTCCTTAAGTGTTGCATAAATAGAAAGATAAAATATACATTTAATAAATTAAAAAGATAACAGAAACAGATCATATTACTTAATACTAGCCTTTTTTCCTAATTAAATGAGTTGTGAAGTCTTCAAAATTTATGTTATGAAAATTAAATACATTTTTATACAGAACCTTTTGATTTGAACAATTTATTTGAGACTCTTTATGAGCAAGCAAGGATTGTGTTGAGAACACAAAAGGTAAGCATCACTGTGGTTTAATGTTTAATTTTATATGAAAAGTTGCCTAGCCATAATATTTATCAGCCATATTATTATCATGTTTAACCATTCATGGGATTAGAAATAGGACTATTGTGTGAATAAAATGATTAAAAGGAAGCAGCTATCTCAATTGCCTTGAGTTCCCATAGCAGAGATAGAATATTGTCAATACCTCATTGTGGGACAGAATAATGATTGCAACTTTGAAAGAGGCATTATGATCACTCCATTTTCAAGATACTGTCTTCTATTCACTTTATTTGACAAATAATGTTCTACTGTATATCCAATCTCCCCTGTGTGGGGAAAGTGGTGGAACAATAGCTACAAAGCACCTACAACAAATGGATTATTTAGTTTCATGAGAGACAGGATTCAGATTCTGGAACAGAATACATTGGTCATCTTCATGGAAGAGTTAGCAAGACTTGCCTAATAGGAATATGACTATCCTTGTCTTGCTAAATGGCTTTTAAAGTTTTGAACAAAGTATGCTCCTGGACTACCTAGGAAGTTTGGAAGTTGGTGGCACAATTTTACAGTGGTTCTAGTTCTTCTTAAGACATTCTGGTTAGTTTTCATGCTGGGTGGGGAAAGTTCAGCCCTTTGGTGATACATTATGTAATGCCTCAAGGCTTGGTCCTACTCCTATCCTATTATGCATCTGTATGAAACCCATGGGAAACCCATTATATTATCAATATGCAGATGAAGGCCAGTTATATATCTCCACCTTGGGATGAATGGGGTTGTTATGGAAGCTTGATCCAGTGTTTGTAGATTGTCAGAACATGAATAGGGAGGAATAGATTTAACCTAAGAGAGAATGACTATTTCAACCACCAAATTATTTTATAAGATTGTGCTCTTTGTAGGATTGTGCTCCTAAAGACTTGCTACCTGGCATTTGTCTTGGACTTATGGCTCCTTCTGGAATAGCAATTGGAAACTGTGGCCAGGAGGACATTTGTCCAACTTCAGCTGGGGTACCAATTTTGGGCTAACTTAGAACAAGGGACATTGAAGCTGGTCACTCATGGTCTTGTCTTCTCCTACATGATTTATTTATGCATTAGTTTATATAATTACTTATCTCACTTTCCTGATTCTGGGCAGCTTACAAAGTTGAAAATACAAAGAATAACACAAAACCAACCAAAACTTTAACCGCAAAAATTATTAAAACATTAACAACAATAAAAACTATTAAAACCGTAAAACATATGATTTGTGGGAGAGGACCATTCATTTTCCTAACAGTACAACCACTTAGCAGTCTCTTCACTAACATCACTGAATCCCCAAGCCATGTCTTCAGTCTCTTCCAAAAGGTTAACAAAGTCAGAACCAATCTCGCTTTAGCAAGAATGATGTTCAAAGGCTGGACCATATGTCGGCAAATGCTCTCTGTCTGGGTCACATCAGATGACATTCCTTTGTGGATAGGATCTGCAACATGTTTTTTTTCTGCTTCCTAATGGGATGAGTAAATGTGATTGGGAGAGTGGGCCCTCAAATATCCCAGTTCTATGCCATGTAGGGCTTTATAGGTAATTACTATTGAATTCAGAAGAAAATTGGTAGTCAATGCAATTTGTGGAGCAGAGACGTAATACATGCTGATGTAGATGCAAACATAACTGTCCATACCACCAATTTTGCACCAACTGAAGCTTCTAGATGGTCTTCAAGGGAAGCTCCATTTAGAGTCTATTACAATAATCCAAGAAGGAGATGACTAGGGCATGACTGAACATAAGACCTTGTGGTACAAGAATTACTGTAAAATTGCAATGCGTTAAACATGAAACTGCAATTAATCCAGAATATAGATGCATGGGCAATTATGGGTGTATCTCCTTGAGCTGCACTGGTTACAATTAGGGTTTCAGGTGCAATTCAGAAACCTATAGTTTCTCATACAGCTTGGTTTTCCAAGGATTGTCTTCCATGACTTCTTCTGGCTTGTACAATTAGGCAGAGTTGACATGCCCCAAGTCCCATCCACTAAATAGATCCCATCAGGCCCATCTGATGGGACTTAAGAAACATGTCTTCTCTGTCACAACATTGTTCTCTGGAACATCCTCCTCCTCTTCAAAATACATTTGGCCTCCACCCTGGCCATATTCAAAAGAGGTTTGAAAATCAGGCTCTTTCTCCATGACTTGGGTTAGAATCTTGCATGTTTCATTGCCTTTTAATGGTTGTTCTTTTTTTTTGGCTGGGGTTTTATTTTAAATAAATAAATGAATATCAGCTTTCCATGGAACAATTTTAAAGACCTGGAAAATTCAGTTGGTGAAAAATCCAATGGCCAATATGCTTATTGGACAGTCTTGTTACAGACTCTTACTCTTGGAGTATCATTGGCTATTGATACATTTACAAGGGCAAGATACCCAAGCCATAAATGGGTCAGAGCTTGGGTATCCTCATGACCACCAATTCTATACAGAATCTATTCTGTATATATTCTGCCTGCTCAGTCAGCAGACAGAGACTGTCTGTTGAAAATCTTAAATTATCAAGAAATATGGTGGGAAAGGTACCCAAAGCAACAATTTTTGTGATGACTCTTCTTTTAGGAATTGCTGGCTTCTCAAATAAAGAGTATCATCCACTCTCTGGCTTTCTGAAAGCTAGTAGAAACTTGGCTCTTCCAAAAGGCCTTTTGGACAAGTCCTCTAGAATTTCTGATACCAGGCATAATATATTAATTATAATTTGTACTTAATTTTATATTGTATTTTTGTTATTGTATATTATCTGTTGGTATCACTATTTGCTTAGGTGCAGCTGTTGTTTTTGTAGCCCACAGAAACTAGCCTTGATTGGATGAATATATAAAAGATAAATGTAATAAATAAATCTGCCCCTTCAACTATGCAAATAGAGTTAACTAACAAAAGACACTTATATGGAGGAAGAAATAGTCCTTTCAGGATATATGAACAAATGGTTTAAATAAATAATATGCTTGCTGCTTTAAAATTTTCTTTTTGACAATTAAGGCATCCACATATATTTGTGCATATATGACATTCAGCTGAAGTCTGTCAAACATTGAGTAAGTTGGCGGATAAGCCTATTTTCTCTCTTCCCCCCACCCCCATTCTTGAGTTAATTGTTTTTCCACTGGGTGTGCATGAGCTCTTCATGCAAAGTGGGAAAAACTGAGAACATAGCAGGAGACAGAGAAGATGTGCATTATAATCTAGTTGCGGGTAGGAGAAACTGATGTATCTGCTCCCTTTCCCTGAGGATGCTGAGGCAAATTATAACATGCACCATAATTTTACATTGTATTAATGTATGTCATTGTTAGCATTACTATTTCTTTGAATGTAGCTGTTGCTTTTATGCAGTGCTGAGATTATCCTTAAATGAGATTTATAAATGCAGAAGTGAATAAAATATAAATGTAATAAATAAATGCTTCTTAAACTATGCCATGATGACATCACAGTTACGTTCTAAAACTTCACTTGGCTTCCAAGCAATATTGCCTCTATGGATTTTGAATCTCTTCCCTCCCCCCCCCCCCCAATATTTATTGTGTCCTTATTTTCCTAAGAGAAAATGGGGAAGATGGGGAAGAAAGAAAAAGAAGATAACAATAACAACCACCAATATCTCTTTCATTCCTGGAAAGAATTTTCATTAAAGAATTTTGAGAGCTTGAGATTTTGATAATTAAAGGGTCATTGAATAAATGTGATGGGTTACTCTGAGCCCAGTTTTCAGATTTGAACTATTGGGACATGGAAGTCAGAATAGAGCTGGAAGGGACCTGGGAGGTCTTCTAGTCCAACCCCCTGCTCAAGCAGGAGACCCTATACTATTTCAGACAGGTAACTGTCCAGTCTTTTCTTTTAAAAAAAAAACACCTCCAGTGATGAAGCCC